GTTACTCATGGAAAGGTTACTCATGGAAAGGTTACTCATGGAAATGTTACTCATGGAAACGTTCCTCAAGGAAACGTTACTCATGGAAAAGTTACTCATGGAGAGGTTTAAGAGGTAAAAAATCTTACTCATGTAGGTCCAAAAAAATTATGATGAAAAGTAAGTGATGACATCTTTCTGATGAAAACTTACTCACATGAATAAGTTCCACTGATGTGATTTCCATGATGGACTTTCACTCTTGAAATGTCAGTCAAGAAATCTTACATCAGAATAAGTTACTTATGGAAATTTAGTCATTGAAATTCAACTTTAAAAATTTTGATAAAAGCGTTACTCAAAGATTGCGAGTGAGCGAGCGACGCGAATAATGATACATATGTCAACATATGACATCAACAAAATTTACATTGTATCAAAATTCGCGCCGCGTTTGCCTCTTGAGGCTGTCTAGTTTAGCGAGTACTCGGGCAGGGTGGGGTCCTGGGGGTGGGAGGAGGCGGAGACTAGGTCTTCCTGTTCTTCAGTGGGACTGGGTTGAGGGAGAGAGGGTGCGGGCTCAACGCAACTCGGACTAACTGTGCCGACAGAGTTTGGGCGCGGGGTGGGTGGAGCGGTGTGGGGCAGCTGTGCTTCCGGCGCGAAACGATGAAGCTTTCTATCGGGAGACACGATGCCGTTGGAGGGGTTGGGGTGGGAACCAGCCGCCCCTGTCTCCGCGTCTACCCGATGGCACTTCTTTCGTGTGCGTGTCGGCGGGAAAACGGGTGGAATGGACACGAAGTGCCCCGTTGCCGTGCATTTGCGGGGCTGTGTGTTGTATCGGGGAGTGGGTGAGAGTAACCTTCTCCCCGTCTGGCGCGACCCCGCGCGGATAGGCGCCCTTTTCCCCTCCTCCGCCGGGCTGGGGGTGAGATTGTGGAGGGGAGAGTTGGGTGTTCGGAAAGCATTTCGGCGTTAATCGCGTACGTACAGATCCGGAATCAACGCCATTACCGTTACTGCGGCTTGTTATGGATCGGAATCGGAGGGGTGGGGGGCACTAAGTGCGGTGGCTTCGACTCTCTCTCTCTTTCTCCCTGTCTCTCTCTCACACACATGCATGTGTGTTGGAGAGGAGGTGGGCAGCGCGAGCGCAGGATCGGATATGCGGAAGCGAAATACTCGCATGTCTCGCAACAGCTCGCCCGGAGGTCCGAAGTCCGCGGTGCGTCGTTGCGCCCCCTCCGCTCAGCTGGTCCAGTAGTCTCTGCTGGTCCAGGGCCCAGGACGCCGTCGGACGGGGGCCGCGGGGGATGTGCCCCCCCTCTCCCCCACTCTCTCACGAACCTCAAAAGACTGAAGAGGCTGCGCGGGGCGGCCAAACAAAAAGACTTGAACGAAAACAAGGAGGAAAAGAGAGAAAGAAAAGTGGCGCGGGGGAATATTAAAGGCAAGAAGACGTGAGAGCAAAACAAACTGGAGTGGTGGTGCTGCTGCCGCTGCGACAGCCGCCGGCCTGGGGACATCCGTTTGCGCCCTCTGCCTCGCCCCGCCTCTCTCCCGGGCCTCTCCCGCTCGCACACCGTTTAAAAAGGGTGCGTCGCGGGGCGGTGGCGCGGCGTGGCGCGGCGTGGCGGGGGAGTTTAGAGATTTTTAATGTTTCCCGCCTCGGCCGCCTCGCGCGGCCCCGGGGCTGACGCCGCGATGTCTTCGGCATCCTGTTTGGCACCCCCTTCGTGGGGTCCCTGCCCTGCTGCTGGTCGTGGCCCGCGCCAAACTCGCCCCGACCAACCGCGCCCCGCCCCGCCCCCCGCCCCGCGCCCAGCCCATCCGATCAGCACGGCAGGGAGCAATTAGAAATGGAATTGGAATCTGATTTCCCCTCGCCAGAAAACGGGAGAGGAGAGAGAATTTGTTTGTATCCGAAAGCAGTAGGAGGTTTACTGGCCGCTGCCGGCGCCGCCCCCAACCAAAACTCTCTTCCTCTTCCTCGCTCCCGCCGGGCCTTCGCCGTCTGCTGGTAGTACACCTTCCAATTCATCAATGCAATCTACTATTGAGGGAGCAGACAGACGCCCGCAGAGGTAGAGGAATATGTAGGGTTGGTCGTGGAGTAATTAGAGTGCCCCCTCCCCTTTGCTCGCTGCCAGAAAAAAGAAGCTCTATGCTGGGGCTGGGACTACGATCATAGCTCATCTGTACATACCCTCCTACTGTACATTTGGTGTACAGTCATTGTCCCTAAATTCGGACGGTTTTTGAGGAAAAACGCCTGTGATATCTAGAATTTTTGAAATATGAAAAATCGCTGGGGATTCTAGAATCCTCACGTCGAGACGCACCTACCACTCTCCGAAAATATTTTTTCGCGCTAACGGTATAGGGGTGAGGGCTGTTTGAATCGTGTCCGTATTTAGGAACCAATGCGTCCTAAATTCGGACAGCTTTGAAAAATTATGAAAAGTGAAAATTTTTGGGGGGGTTTAGAAACTTCATGAAAAAATTTGACCTTACCCTATCGTCCAAATTTTCGTATCTGGTATAGTCCCTATGTCCGAATTTAGGGCGCATTGCAAAAACGCTTCCCAAAACTAAACCGTGCGACGAAAAATCAAAAACTTGGTGTCATATTGTAGATAAAAGTACCAAGTTTCACATATGTTGTAGTCAGAATAACCCGGGCTTACACTGTTCGGAGCCCCAAATTCTTGCAAGACACATTTAAAAACGCCCGTTTTTGGGGGCTGAAAATACAAATTTCAGGAATTTCTGGAGGAAGCAATATTACTCACACATTTATTTTTTTGGCAGAAATGGAAACTTGGTGGTCTTACCTTCCCATCAAACCCATAGAAGTTAAATTTTGTCAACGCATAATGGATTTGGAGGCGACAATAGTGAAATACGGCAAAATGTCCGAATTTAGGGCGCAAGTCCGAATTTAGGAACAATGACTGTACTTTGGTTCAATATTTTTGGCGGTCCTCAATATCGGTTGTCGAGCTCTCTCCTCCTGCACACATACGCACTAGCACCCCTAACACTAACACACACACACACACACACACACACACACACTCTCTCATACACACACACACACACACACACAAACTGCTGCGGCAACGTCCGCCCCAGACAGGGGATGGCGCGCGGATATACTTGCGCAAAATGTCGCCGGTCTAGAACTTCCCCCGTTGCCCCCCCCCCCCTTTCCCTGTTTGGACGAAGCCTCTTTGAACTTGACCTTGAATGAGGACCCGACTGGCACCGGACATTCACACGGCGACCAGTCCCCCCCCCCCCCCTTTCCCCTCTTCTGCTTGGCGTAGCATACGTTGACATTTTCCAGGTGTGCGTCGCAGACATATGCACTGAGACGGGCTACGCCTGCTCTTCATAAGTTTGTGTATGAAGAGGAGGAGCTCATAACGACGTCCCAAAGTTTCGTGTTTATTATTTTCGTTTACTATTATTGTTGTTGTTGTTATTTTTGCGGGCTGGCAAAATAAATGTCGAGAAGGGGTGGTGGTTACGTCGTGAAGTGCAACGCTCCTTTTAGAATGAGGCACACGGGGAGTGGGGAGTTGCCCCCGCCCCCCTCCCGGCCACAGCCGCTGGTGACGAGCGCGGAGGCGGCGCGGAGCGGCAAAGTGTCACCCTTATTGTCATGTTTTCCCAATTGCCGGGGCGAGGGAGGCGGGGGGCGGGGGAGGAGGATGTGGAAAGACAAATGGTTTTCTCGTGCGCAGGATGCGTACTACTCTTACTACTAACTGCTTTACCACTTTCACCCGACGAGGGGGAGCAAAGAGAGCATGAGAGAGGGAGCGGGGAGCCCGCTGCCCCGCGCCAGCCCCTCTCCCTGCTCCCTCCCCGGGAGGGCCACGGCTAAAAATACGGTGCCAGTCTGCGTAATTGTGACTGCGTGTGGCGTGGCGTAGCGTGGCCCGCGCGTGAGACCGGCCGGTGCGGCTGCGGCGCTCTGCCCGCCGCTGCGACATTTTGAAGGGGTGTGTGTGTGTGTGTATGCGTCTCCTGGTGTTTTGTATCTGACTGGCGAGGGGCTTGTGTGTCCTGCTGCTCCGCTCTTGGCTCCGGAGATAGGGCGCCAGAGGCATGCGCTCCGGAGCGCGCAGGGGGGGGGGGGGGCGCTATGGGGGAGCATTGTGCCTCCTCCCTCTTTTCAGGAGGCGCCCGGGGGCTCGGCTCTGGCAGCCCCGCTGCACTCCGACGCTCGGCAGGTCTGCCTACCTGCACGGCGCTCCCGCTGACAGCTCCGCGAGACCCCGACGGTATATGAGGCTGGCGCGACCTTTCTGTTCTGCTGACCATAGAACCGAAATGCTGGTCGCCTCAATCCGATCGTCGCCGGTCGCCAGTGCGGTGTGAGAGAGACAGCATCATACGGGTGAGCGGCCGGTCACTGCTGGTACTACCCACCCGTCCAAAAGGAACTGTCGGTAGCCGGAGCGTCCGGGCCGGCCGTCCGGAGCGATCGGGTTCTCGGCGTTGATGCGGGCCCGACGGGTGACCCAGACAACTAGGATGGCGTTGACGTTCTCTGTGTTGCAGCAGCCGTGTTGACGGTGCGGCTGATGTGACGGTGACTCCGAGACCCCATGGGATGACGTGGACGTTCTTTCTGTTGCAGGCGCGTTGACGTGCGGCTGATGCGGCGCCGGCCAGGCGCTGGCCGATGGAGCTGCCGTCCTCCCTGCCGCACTCGCGCAGCACGCCCGCCGTGCACCGCGCCCCGCCCGCCCCGCACCGCGCCCCGCACCCCGGCGGCGGCAGCAGCGGCGCCAGCGGCCGGCCCGGGCCCAGCGGCAAGATGCTGGCCGTGCGGGTGCTCAAGCTGGACGACGAGGTCACCATCTTCCAGGTCCAGGTGGGTGCGAGTGAGCGAGTGGCTTTTTCCAGTTCCAGGGCAGTGTGTAGTTTGGAGTGGTCCCAGTCGAGGGATCGTCCAGAAAGTACGTGTACGTGACCGTCATTCGGCGCCGTTACGTAAGTGCGAAGTTCGGCCGAGCCAAGTTCTCTTAGCGCCTGACGGGTAGGCAACATAGCCCGTGCAGCGCATGCGAGTACTGCGGGGTGGCCTACCCCGAGACTCGCAGGCGCCGTGCTCGCGTAACCCGCCGAATGAATCTGATCAAAGTGAACGTACTTTCTGGCCAGTCCTCCAGTTCACTGTTAGAGTGGCTCCTCTCCTAGGAAGCTGAATGGTGTGTTAGATTCAGCTCCAGGATAGTCCAATGGGTTGCCCGAGTGGCTCCACGATGGCAGCCCGATGGGGTGTTGAAGTGGCTCCAAGAGTGGCTCCCCCGCGGCCGTGTGATGGCAGTAGTGTCGGAGTGGCTCCAGTGCAGGGCGGGCTGCTGGGCCGGCGCTTATCTGGCCGTGCCGTGTGACCCAGTGCGACCAGGCGCGGTGCCCGGGGGTGTGGCTGCGGCTGCCGGGCCCAAGTCCAAGCCGAGCAGGGCCTATAGGCTTTTGTGTGGAGTCACGAACCAGCAGCAGCAGCAGAGGCCCACTCTGTGCTAGAGAGGGGGGGGGGGGCGCCCCAGGGAAGCCCCTCCGCGCCGCGGCCTGCAGAGACAGATGATGTCTACACTGTAAATCCGGGGTGTCCGGCAACTGTGCGACTTGAGGTGCCCGACCCTAAAACCTGTGCGATTTAAGTCGCACAGCTGCTGGACACCTTTTGGTTTGGCACCCTTTTCCCTGCACAAGGGTCCAGGCCAAGCCTAGGTAGGGTGTCGTGTTGTTGGACACCCCCTGCTTGGGAAAGGGCGCCAAACTACAAGGTGTCCAGCAGCTGTGCGACTTAAGTCGCACAGGTTTTTAGGGTCGGGCACCTCAAGTCACACAGTTGCTGGACACCCCGTATTTACAGTGTAGTGGTAAAGGGATGCAGAACGTCACGACTAAGGGAGGGAGGGGCGGCTGCCGCCTGCCGCCCCCGTGCGGAGGGAAAGGCAGCAGGGGTCCGAAAGGGCTGCCCGCGGCCGGCGGTGGTGGCGGAGGGAAAGGACGGCCAGACGGGACAAATATTGGGCTGATTGAATCCCCTCCTCCCTGCCGCTGCGCTGCTGCACCCTGCCCCGCCCGGCCCCGCCGGCAGCCTGCCCCTCGGCGTTGTGGGGGCGGTAAACATGTCCTCTTGGCCACCCCTCTGCATAACGGCCCGGCTGGCGTGGCACGGGACGGGCTCGGGGCTGCCGCTCAGGAGGCACATGACCACCGCCTCAGACTCTCCTCCTCGACCCCGAGCGGTGGTCTTTTACCGTCCCCATTCCTCCCTCGCTCTCTGCCTCCCCCCCCCCTTTTCTTCTTCTCCCCCTCTTTCTCTTCTTCTCCCCCTCTTTCTCTTCTTCTCTTCCTCTTTCTCTTCTTCTCTTTCTCTTCTTCTCTTCCTCTTTCTCTTCTCTCTACCTCGCTCGTTCTCTCTCTCTCCCAACGCTACACCACCCCTCATAATAAATATGTGATGCAGTGCGTATGGCATCACGTATCACGTGCGGCCTATGCGAGCCACTCTCGCCTCATCCACTTTTTTTCGACTTCGTTTTTGTCGCACCAAATAGACCACATGGTGATTTGCATTACTCCGAGAAACACTTCAAAACTGCACGAGGTCTGTGGTGGGCTACTCTCGTGTAGTTTTGTTCAACGGAAAGTTGGTCTGCTTCCGACAAATTCTGTCGTCGCACACTAGGAGGTGTTGTAGCCGGCTGTGTTGTCGTACTCGCGAAGGAGGTGGGAGATGAAAAGGTGGGGGGGGGGGGGATAGCGGGTTCGTAGAAAATCCTTTCAGAATCCCGCGCAAATCCGCAGCGTCATGTTGAGTTGGAAACATTGCAGCAGCATAGTTATTAGGGCCCCAGTACAGTAGATGGCGGGTGGTGAGGCCGCCTGGAGGCATGCGAGGCACCGGACTCACTGCAGCTCTGGCAGTCGGCAAAGTTTTTACCTCGAGAAATGATTATCAGTTGACATTGATTCATACTTACGACGCGTGGCCTGGAAAGCAAGGCGTTTCCGCAATCTCAACTCCTGCCGAATTCGCGAGCCCGTGTGCTGACTTTGTCCCGCTTTGGCCTCTTCCGCGCGTTCTCTCGCTCTATTTCTTTATATTCTCTCCCCTTTCCGCGTCGCTTTTACGCTCTATATTCGCCGACTCCCTTTATTTTCGCACTCCGCTTTTCTTTAGCCCCCCTCCCCCCTCCGCCTTCCCACGCGGAGACTTGGACTTGGATGATCAGTCTGTTCAGACCACGCGCGAGGCAATAAGATAGTTAAGGCTTGCGAATTTGTTGTTGTTTGTTTTAGTCTTTTCTTTTCTCTCTTCTTTTTTTGTTGTGCACGTGATGCCAGCTGACTTGCTGCCTTGGCTCGCACCCTCCCCCATCCGCACTCGGTGGTTGTCAATAGCTGTTAGCGGACATCCTTTTAAAAGTTGCTGTCTAGTCGGGCAAGGGTATATCCGACGGAGCGGTGTGGCGGGGGCGAGACGGGCTTCACGGCTTCACCTCTCTCCTACCAGAAAAAGATACAAACTCTCCCGCCGTGCTGCGCCTGCTATGATTCTCCTCCTCCGCCACTGGAGAAGCGCAAACTATAGAAGAAATGGGGGG